ATGCAAAGTGCGAGGGCCACTGGCACTGCCAGTGCGAATGCTCGACTTTTGGTATCTGAGTTGGGGCCACTGTGGCAACTGTTCGGGCAAATTGCTTTTAAAGCACCGCGTGAATTCCAATTGAAATTCTGGAGGCGTCGCGCCAATAATGTCGTACATTAAGTTGACTTTTGTTTTGTTATTTTGTATACAGATATTTATATATGTAGATACACCTTTTTTGGCCACAAAACAAGTTGTTATATTGTGGATGTGGCCGTGGCTTTGACTCGGGCTGTGAGTCGGGTTGGAGCTGTGACTTGGGCTGGGTCTAGGGTATCTAGTGCATTGGATATTCGTTTTAATGGTCTTGGGTGTTCTAAATGCGGGTATTAAATGATACGTAAAAAGCTAACTGCCTCACAAGTGGACACCGATTTGCATAAATGCCCAGCAAATGGCGACAGCGCAAATAAACAGGTGTTCAACAGGATATTAAATTTTGTGTTGTCGTCTTTGACCAAAACTAGTGCGTAGAACTCTCTTAACTATGGCCATTACCATGCCAAGCACAAGCACAGTGCTTTTCTATTCAAAAAAAAATAAATAAAAATAAAAAAATATATATATATATATATATATATATATATATCCAAAGAATTAGCATAAAAAAACTGGCAATTAGGCATGCCTAAGATAAACAGAAATTCCCATTTATAAAATAAATGAGACAGCAAAAACTCTTTGGCTCGACTTGATTATGCCACCTTAAATTTATTGGAGTACTGTTCTCAAGTTCAGTATTCAAATACACATCGACATCGAATGCACATCTGTTGCCTTATTATACCCTGAACCCGTTGAAAGTGGGAAATCAGGATATAATGGTTTTATTGAAATGTATGTAGCAACTGCTTGGCGTGGCAGACACCACAAAGTATATATGTTCTTGATCCAGATCCTGTCGAGCTGCGCCTATGCATGTGAGTGTGTCCGTGCGTGTGCGTGTGTGTTTGTGCGTGTGTGCGAATTATTATTGAAATATCAGTTGTTTGAAGGGTTCAAAGGATCTCGTAGTCGAGCAGTTTCGACTAGAGCTTTCTGACTTGTTTTATTTAGTAAACTTCATTAAAATATCTAAAAAATTGACTACGCTTTCTACACTGATACAAATCAAATTGTAATACAAGCAACCCACTAAACAAACTCGACTAAGTAATTAATATGCCAAAACAAAAATATATTGTTTTTATATTCATATCTGGATTCCTGGATTCAATCCTGTGTTTCATTTACATTAATGAACTGAATAATTCAATTCAGCTTGCCTTTGCCTTCTTCTACTTAATTTGAATTCAATTTACCTGCAAACTTCTACGGAGATCAAGTATACATTAAGTCCATCATTATGCCACCTTGATGGGCGTCCCATATATCTAACAGCCCCATTCAAATGCCAAATGGATCTTCGATCTTCTACCTGCCATGCACCATTATCTGCCTGGCAGCACCTGGCCACAACACTTTTGCGAAGCTTCCTGAACTGATTGGTTATTCAAGACTTTACAGCTTTCTAATTTCGAATTTTGTTTTATTGCGCCATGTCTTGAATATTGCCCATGTTTAACATATTCAATCAATAAGACCTTTTAATTTATGCATATATGGATAACTGCAAATAGAATAAATTCATTTCATGCATGCCAAATTAGTTATTTTTCAAATTACAAATTTCCAAACGACGTTTTGGATCTGTTAGTTCAATTATTCCATTAGATCCTATTAGCCATATAAAATAAACAGATAAGCAAAATCACATAGTACATAGTACATAGTACATAGTACATAGTACATAGTACATAGTACATAGTACA